CATGAGCAAGCTCCGCCCCAATGTGATATTTTTTCAATGTATTTTAACTAAGATAATGTATTTTAACTAAGATAATGTTTCCTTATATGAAACACACACTTTGTCAATATATTAAATAGCACTTGTATGTTAAAGATGTGTGCACTTTTACAAACTTGCAAATACCATGGATAAAGCTGGCCATACACAATGCAAATTTCATCCGGTTCTTCATGCACCAGCTGAGATTCGCACAGTGGGTGCCGCTGTCGGCACCCTTTCAGTCAGTATTCCTCAATCAGACTGAAGGAGCTGAAGACTGAAGGAGCTGAAGACTGAAAATCTTCAAACGAATGGTTCTTGCAGCCAATCAGCATCTTCTGAAGAGAGGAAGGGGCAAGGATTTATCCATCAACGCTCGTAAGTGTTGATGGAGGAATCTGTTCTATTTTCTTTGTTCAGCCTGTGGTTTAAATGAAAAAAACTAGAAGTGCATGGCCAGCTTTACTAAGTAAAGTCATCTGATCTCTGATATTCTTATTATGTGCAATTAGTTTAACAATTTTACAGTAGCTACAATAAAAGTCTTCCAAATATGTTTGGTAGGACGGAAAAACAAGGTAGAGCTGATAAGTCTACGTAATGAGTTAATTCAGATCCAAAGGACAGAGGCGGCTCTCTAATTTGGCAAATTAGGCGGTTGCCTAAGGCCTCGCGGCCACCTAATTTGCCTAACACATTACATGGGACCTTAGCGCTGCTGAGCACAGACAGCATTAGGTGCCCTGTCACATCCAAGAGTGCATCGCAGCTGCCGAACATCTCATCTCCTAATGCTGTCTGCGCTCAGCAGCATTAAGGGCTCCTGTCACCTTGGAAGAGCGCTGTTGGGGGGGCGGATAGATGTAAGCACCGTCCCCGCAGACAAGTAGGGCTGGATTTACTCTCCCTGCTGCCCCAAGGCCAGGTTCCCCAATGCGCCTCCCCGTCAACCCCCCTAAAACCCCCTTCCCTCCCATCAATGGAGAATGGCAACCAGATGGCAGGGCGGCAGGGTTAATTTAATTTTTTTATTGTTTCTTTAACTTTGTTTATTTTTTTACTTTTTAAAAATGTGTATTTATCTTATTGTTTACTTTATTTTTTTATCTTATATTTTTTAATAATTTGTTTCTTATTATTTTTTTACTTTTTAATCATACGGACCGTCTGCAGACTTTTTACAAGTGATCTCAGGGACAACGCTGAGATCACTTGTAAATGTACAATTGGCTTCCTCACACTACATTTAGTCCTGCTTCTGCAAAGCAGGACTAAATGTAGAAACGGCCCGGCGCCCGGAACTTCCCCACAAGGACACTGCTGCCGCCTTCTGCGCCCTGCTGCCGGGCCTCGGTGGCCTTGTGGGGAGTCCGGCCCTGCAGACAACTCTCCCTGCTGCAGACTCAGAGTGTCTGAGATTTTTCCTTACAGTCTGTAATCAGCTGCAGTGATCTGTGTCAGAGGGGACAGACAGCCGATTACAGCCTGTAAGGAGAAACCTTCCTCAACGTGTCGTCTACTCACCCCTCAGCGCTCCTCTTTTGCTGTCAGCCATGATCGTCCCCATTCCAGCAGCTGGCAGCAATTGGCTCTTTTAAATTGCAGTAGCCAATAACAGGCTGGCTATTGCACCTGCCCACTGCCTGCTGTCAATCAGCAAAAGAGGAACTAATGGAGAACTTTCTCCTTCAGGTCACTCCTCTGCTGATTAACAGCAGGCAGTGGGTGGGTGCAATAGCCAGCCTGTTATTGGCTATTGCAATTTGAAATATCCAATAGCAGGCTGGCTATTGCTCCCAGCATTAGTAGAAAAAAAAGTTTAAAAAATAAAGTTAAACTCAAATGAAAAATAAAAATAAAATAAAAAAAGTTAAATAAAAAAGTATAATGCAAAAAAATAAAAAAAGTTAAACTAAAATGAAAAATAAATTTTTTTAAAATAAAGGTTAAAGAAAATTAAATAATTTAAAAAAAAAAATGCAAAAAAAAAAAAAAAAAAAAGAAGGAAAAAAATAAAGTTAAACTAAAATTAAAACAAAAAAGTTTAAAAAAAATAAAAAGCACAGCCTCCGGAGACCCACAACCTCCTAAAACCACACACAGCCATCAATGACTCCACCGGAAAATTGATTAGAGATGAAAACAATTGAAACAATGACAGCTGGACAATGACCTGGCAAAATTTACTCTATATCTTGCTTATGTTTTGTCACCTCTAAAACAACTGTTAGAGAAAAAAACCCACCTTTAGTAAGAATATCAGTTGAATCATTTATATGGGAAAATAACATATTTGTCACACTGGATCATTATCATACTATTATATTGAAAAAGAAGTAAAAACCTATGTTAATGCCTCCAAAGACTTTGTGACATGCAGCTGCAAGGAAATCAGTAATATATGCCTCTGCGTTACTAAGGGAGACAGAGGTTACTTATGCCCAAACAGAAACCGATAAATATATACAATTGTTTTGCAAGAGGATGTTCCCATCAATGCATATAAGGGCAATTACTAATTAAGAAATCTAAACCCTTTGAAATATTCTTGAAGTTTTGTGCAGCTGCCAAAGCTAGGTTACAAATATTATGCTAGGCCTACAATAATAATAATAAATACAACACTGTGGAGACTTAAAAAGCTGGAACCTTTTACCAGTTGTGATACCTAATACCCCTCCCAAAAATGAAAAAAAAGGTGCCATTTAAAGACTAGGGCTTCCGGTGAAGCATTTAAGTCTTACATGCATTTGACCATAATAAGCTTTTGGATTTCAGAAAAAAAGTAAATGCTTACACTGCTGCAATAGTGGCAATGTTTTAGAACATGAAGAGTTGGGTTTTTTGATGGCCCGATCTACAGGAGGTGAAAGTTTGGTGGTTTCCAACTGTTAGAAAATGTAAAAACAGCAATACGTTTTACTGGACAAGAAAAAATGCATATATATGCACAAATATCAAGAAAAAATGCATACATATGCACAAATATCTACTAAGCTTGCAAGCATCACAGTTTTAATCCTAAGGAACATGCTATCATCCATGCAATACCCTCACACCCATGACAAAAAGTTTAATCAGATTTTTTTAGTTGGACATTGCAAAGCATATTTGTTAGGATCCAGAGTGCCTCCAGGTGGCGCTGGAGCTAAGTTGTGCAGTTCCTGTGCTCACCTGCTGGTGTCTCCAGGCAGCCAGGAACTGTTGGGTACCAGACCACCACTGGGTGGTGCTGGAACCTGCAGCTCCAGTGCTCACCTTCGGGTGTCTCCCAGCTGCCAGCTATAACCGCTCAGAGCCCCCGCTGGTTTACCCGGGTGTGGATCACAGCTGCAGATATAAGAGTATGCTGGTGGCAACCCAGCGTATCAATATAGAAGCAGTCTTTGATTAATAATGGTATCAATATAGCAACAGTCTTGAACAATCCTGGTATCAATAAACTAATAGTCTTTAAATTATCCAGGTATCAATAGAGCAACAGTCTTTGATTAGAAAGTATACATGCAGTTTTGGAGATATTTCTTAGATTGGGAGTGGTGACAGCAGTGCCCTCCTGTGGAGCTCAATGGAACGACAGGCCCAGCTATTGCAAGCAGGAGGATCTCAGACTGGGGCTGCAGAGTGTCCTGTGTGGATACAGGCTGTCAGCTGGAGATGGTGGAAGGTCCTGTGACGTATGGCAGGAGAGGAGATGGGGCTCTGACCGGCCCATTAGGTGTGGGGAGTCCGTGGCAGACCAACGGAGGAACTTGCCTGGCAACTACACACTTGCATGAACGCCAGGCAAGTGCAATCGCCGGATTAAGCAGGGAGAGAGGGAGGAGTCTCATGACATCGCGTCTGACGTCACAAAGTGTCCGACGGAACTCCGAGCCGGAACTGAGGGACAGGTAAGACTGTTACACCAGCACTTAGCCATCACCTGGTGCTTCCTGGGAGGGTATTTAAACCCTCCCTGCAGTCAGGACGATGGCTCAGTATCCTGTTATTTCCTGTGTATCCTGAGCCCTGTTACCTGTTTCCTGTGAGCCCTGTTGCCTGTTTGCAGTCCTGAGCCCTGTTACCTGTTTGCAGTCCTGAGCCCTGTTACCTGTTTGCAGTCCTGAGCCCTGTTTGTTGTCTTTTTGCTGTTACCTTTTTATAGCTATTATTGCTCTTGTTATTAGGTGTCGGGGGTTATATTTGGTTGGTGTCACATTACTTATTTATGTTTGCTTTTGGGTGTTATATTTTGTTTTGCTGGATACAAATAAACTGTATATAACACATCTTGCCTTGTCCGGTGTGGTCATACGTGTTTGGTCTTCCTGTGTGGGTACCTGCATACAGTGTGGGGACACCTGTGCCAGCACCCGTGACAATATTTTGGTTGTGGTTTTTGCAACTAGAAAAATCCTTTGTCCTTGGGAAAATAAAAGTCATTGTTTCACAAGTGGATTCACGTGCCACAGAAGCAAAACATAGTGCTGGGAACGCCAATGCATTGGTGCCAAGGAAACAGCAACATGTAAGTTACAAAAATCTATTGAATGGTGAGCATACTGATTACGCCATAGCTTACTTTGCATTTTGCTTTGTATTATTAATTTGAAGGAAAATGAAGATAAACTGTGAGGAACGTTACATGGCACAATAGCAGGTTAATTTCTATTATGTTGTTGGAATATGTTTCTCCAGCAACAGCATACTAATTTACAGAAAGGTAATATGCTTTAAATGTACTCTACCAGAAAGGACTTGTAACAAAGTACAAATTAGGAGCATTATAAAAAATATATAATAAGTTATATTTTTATACATACCTAGGGTTAATGAAATAAGATAAAATATACATTAACCAGTTGCCGTCCGCCCGTAGTAGAAAAAAAGTAAAGGGCAAGATGTGTCTTTACATTAGTAACCTGTGTTGTAAACCTGGGCATCAAACAATATAATATGTAATACAACTAACCAGATCAATGTTTTGTGTTTTGTAGCGGAGCCACGTTTGTATGCCCCAAGTATTAAAGTGCGTTTCCCTGTTGAGATATACACCCTCTTAAGGCAATCGGTGACAATGGAGTGCTTTGCTTTTGGAAAGTGAGTTATTCTCAAAAGATAAGCCATTTAAGTATGACCTAAAATGAAAAAAAAAAATAGCAGATAGACACACAATAAATACCAGTACACTTCCTGGAAGGCTGGGATATTCAAACTGAGCATATGAAGAAAAATGTATACATTGAAGTTACCTTCAGTGAAAACCACATGTCACAAAGATTACTAGGTCCATAGAAAATGGCAGGTGAATTGTTTCCAAAAATTCAAGCTTTGTCCCATCTTTTGCTCCTCATGTGCCTTCCAATTGTTCTTAACATTAATGACAACCTAACTGATCTATAGTGAGGCGTGTGAGACAAAAGAGGAATGGACAATGCTTGAGCCAGGGGTGCCCATTAGGTAGATCACGATCTACCAGTAGTTCGCAAAGTGAACACTGGTAGATCGCGATCGGCTCACTGACCTGTGTCCTGTCCTCCCGCAGTGCTCGTGCGGCTGAATGTGTCAGACAAAAGAAAATAGCAAAAAGTTTCCAGGCACACTCACCAGCCAGCATGCAAAAAAACCTGTCTAACCACTAAGGTTAAAAGCAGAGGTTTAGATACACGTCTTATGCAGAAAATGTTAAAAGCCGCACAGCCACGTCAAGACACCTCCATATATATATTGTTTTGCTTGAATGTGTCAGACGCCGCAGACAGGAAGGAGAAAGAAGAGGAGAATTGGGAAGCTGTTGCAGTGAAGGTAAGAAAAGACAGACAGGAGAGAGACAGCAGAGAAAGTGAGAGAAGAGAGAGCAGAGAGAGAGAGAAGAGACAGCAGAGAGAGAGAGAAGAAAGACAGCAGAGAAAGTGAGAGAAGAGACAGCAGAGAGAGAGAAGAGACAGCAGATAGAAACAGGGGAGAGAGGGAGGGGAGCACGAGGAGAAAGAGAAGAGAGGGTCGGTTCACACCACAAAGTCTGCGTTCCAGAGTGTTCGGCCTCTAGAACACAGTGGAACACAAGGCGGCCGGCTCCCTGCGTTCACGGGCGGGAGGGGGCGTGGCAGTGCATTGAAGTCAATGGCACCACAGCCATGCCCCCCGCCCTCAGTGTGATCGCCCGCACCCGGAACGCAGGCACATTAATGCCTGCGTTTCGGTCCAGTGCGATCTGCAAAAATATGCAAAGATGCAGCATTTTTGCAGATCGCACTGGACCGGACCACAGGCACTAATGTGCTTGCAGTCCGGGTGCGGGCGATTGCACTGGGGGCGTGGCTGCGGTGCCATTGACTTCAATGCACTGCCATGCCCCCTCCCGCCCATGAATGCAGGTTTTTTTCGTTAGTAGATCTCATTGAGCTTGTCATTTGAAAAGTAGATCTCCAGACGACAAATTGCGGGCGCCCCTGGCTTAAGCCTTTTAGGAAAATATTGAGCTATGCATGTAACATTATCTGGTCTGGATCTACTAATTATTTTGACATGTGGTTTTCACTGAAGATAACATTTGCTTAAGTATATTTTCATCATATTCTTAGAATGAATTCCTGTAGACCGGGACAGGTCACTTTAATTGTAAACATCGTGAACAATGCCTCTGGCAAAAGAAAAAGACGGGGTCCTCCAAAACAGCAAACTACTGAACCCAAAAATACCTTTTTGTGTCTGTGAAGGTTCTCATTCATCCAGGTCATGGTATATCTGTAAAAAAAAAAAAATAAGTCAAGGCAACTGGACTTGCTGTATTTTCTTGAAGACATCTAAAGGAAACATTTAAAAGGAAAAAGGTCACTCCTTTGAAGACAGTCAAGTACGCATCCTAGACAGGGAGGAGGACCTGGGGAGGGGGGGTGGGGGGGGGTGAGACATTTATTGTTTGCCACATACAATGCTGTTTTAACACCTCTCAATCAACACCTGGTTGTGACTAACAGATTATGTGGATTGGAGCAACATTCACCATATTTATTCCCAGATCATTTTTTTGTACAAGTCATTCTGAATTGAGAAAGCTGGTTGGATGACCAGTGAAACGTCTTCAAGAAAAATACAGCAAGTCCAGTTGCCATGGCTTATATTTTTACAGAAATACCTTTGTGTAGTCCTACTTCAATCTAGGTGAGCATGGGACATATAATGTACTATGTACTGTCTGTTTTTACTGCTGAATATGTCCCCGCTAGCGAGATCCAACCTCACTATTTTTCCTGGTGATCATTGTCTTTTATACATAAAGTGAGGGGAGAACCAACATTTTTAATTTATTAAAGGAACAGGACACCTCCTGTTCCTTTAATAAATTAAAAATGTTGTGGCCGACCCGAAGCCATGTGAAGCAAGCCGATGTACGGCTGATTTCAGCCGATGTACGACTGAAATCAGCCGTACCAGCCTGAAGTGAATAGCCGAACAGTGTTCGGCTCACTTCAGGTCGGTCATTCACTCGGCGGCCTACGGCAGCTTGGTGAATAGACCCCTTTGTGTCTCTGGGACAGGACATTTGGAGAACCCTCTTCTACAGACAGAAAAAAAAAAATTAAAAGAATCTTAAGTTATCCCTACTCTATCCAAAAGCTAAATAAATGTTTAGCTTTATATACACTTGAAATAAAAGCTGTGCACTGGTGGAAATCTCTGACATGAGCTGTTCTTAAGAATTAGCATAAAAAACATGTTTACATAATTATATTCCGGTTTAGATAATGGCCTGCTAGATATTATTTTTCAGTTCCTGAATTTGTGTTCATCCATTTTCTTTTCATCTCTCTCTAGCCCTGTGCCTCATATACGGTGGAGAAAGGTCGATAACTCACAGGTTCCTCAGTGGTTTGCATTAGACCCAGTTTTGCATATTCAAAGTGTCAGTTTTGATGATGATGGGACCTATGAATGTGAAGCTGAAAACCCTAAGGGACGGGTCACCCACCAAGGACGTGTAATAGTACAAGGTGGGATGCCATTCTACATAGATCTGCATTATTTTCGTTAGAAATGGGTTCTTTCCTAAGAATGCTCAGCAAAAAAAAAAATCTACTATCCTATGATTACAGTAGTTTCTATTTGCTGTTTTCACTCATCAATATTTGCTTATATTTTGACAAAAAGTTTGTGGCTATAAGGTGAACTAAATATTTATCTTTTTCTTCTATTGTAAATTTCAGTCAAACGTCTTTTTTGTTCTAAAATGTTAAGCTGGTCTTGGTAGTAATAGTGGCAGATCTTGGGCATATACTGCATGGTATATATTTGGTAGGACAGACACAGGGCTGAACTGATAATGACAGGCAGATTTTTCTCTCTCAACACATGTATTTATTGCTATTGTGCAGCGTTTGGTTGATTCTCTTTCTACTAATAGATTTATTTTTAAAAAAAACTTTATATATTAGGCATTAAAAAAAAGGAGCTGCAGATTATTTAATATATAAGTAAACCCTAAGCAAAAACGTCTTCCCTAGAGTTTAATAAAGATGGAATACCACCCTTATTTTTTTTTTTTTTTTTTATTTTTTTTTTTTTTGAATCCAGTGGTATAGTTACCTTTTTTCCATGTTATAGTTACCTTTTCATTTTTTAATTCTGCAGAGGTGTACAGCTGTCCAGACTCAGTGTCTGCAGCAGACACCACTGAATACTCTGAATCAGCCCCTACTGTTATTTCTGCTATCATTTGCCCTGGCTGGGGATGTGACTAGCACGCTGTTGCTGGTCTGTAACATGCTGCATCCAAGGCAGCAGCCTTGTTTGTCTATGGGTTGTCCTGATCCTGGTGAGGTTAGATGCAATATATTAATGTTTTCTTTTTTTAATTTACATAATTAAATATCTACAAAATTCAGTTCTTCTGGGCAGCCATGTTTACCCAGCATCTCAAATTAAAGAACACAGAAGTATGCCAATTATATACAAGCTATGATTATAAAAACTGTGGTCTTGATGCATCAAGCCGCAGAATCAAATAGTGCCTGCTAAAAATGGCCATGCTGCCAGTGTACTTGCTTGATTGCCACCGTTGCACAAAGTCAGCCTATTTTTGTACATTTCAGAAGAACTGATGCAAATGTTGACATTCTTCACTTTGAGAAACACCTCCAATGCCATTTTGTGATAATCATACTAGATAAGGCTGCTATTGCGTTTTTTTAAACTGCCAACTGATGATGCTGCTAATCTGCTTTTTTTTGCCAACAAAGCTGACACTTGTTAAACTGTGGATTCATTTCACTGTGCCGAAAATGCGTGTGGTCTTCTGCAGATGCCAGTCCAGATACCAAATTTCCAGTGGTAAATTTCAGGTGCCAGCTGCTCCTCCAATCTGCAATCTGTATTGCCACACCCGCAACAAATTCCTATTACAGAGTACCAAGGCTAATGGTCTTTCCTGGAGATACATTTTCATCCAATGTAAAGCAGAGATTTCAATGTAAAGCAGAGATTTATTTGACCTCTTCTTACCCTCCTACCCTCTTCCTCTCATATCTTTTAAATGTCATCAAATATAATTTATTGTTTCCCTGACATTTTCTCTAGCCAATTGTGGACATTATCTTCTCTATTATCCATTCTTTTTCCCCACCTACAGCTATTGCATTTCCCTCTTTGCTGCTAAATCTTTTTAAATCTTCCTTCCGATTCCTTCAGCCTAGTAGCTGTCATGTAGGTGCCTCCTGTCCACCACCTCCACCCTCTGTCTACCATTAGATGGAGAATCTGATGTTCTGTTTCTACCTCCACTGCATCCTTTCTCTTTCCCCATATTATACATCTGCTTGTACCATTGTATAATATACATACACTAGCAGCTAAGTCTTTTCCTTCATGTGAACACAGCTTTACTCCTCCCACTATCACTGCTTTTCAGCCAGTCTTCTGGCTGAGACCTCCACTCTACCAATGCTTCTGTGATCAAACCTCTGCAAAACTGCCTGAACCTCTGGTTTTTTTTACACTGCTTTAAAGGCATCAGGTAACACGCTTTAGAATCATTGTTGGGTTTCCACCTGCAATATTCTTATGCTAATAAACTCATTTGCGTTTTCTTTGTAACGTTATCATTATCACCATAAGACAACTAAATTTTAGTAAATGGGGCTGTAGTCACCATCACCTTCTGTGATGTGACTACTAGACATTTAGTGATAGCCAGGACTGTAGTCAGCCTGGCTGGAATTATAGTGGCAGTTATCTGGTAAATTACAGGTGTCTGGTGTTGCCTGTACCCCCCTTGGTGGAGTGTGACTCTGTAATATTGTGGGACAGCCAATGAGAGATGCTATAGTGTATGTACAGTACAGCAGCCAATCACTGACTTTCTCTCAACCAGTGGTGCATGCTGGGATAGGGTACATATACTTGAGGAATTTGCCATGTGCTCAGACTAGCCGGGACCAGCCATGGAATAGGGCTGGGTGCTGTTCAGCCTGTCCCCCGGGGTAGGCCTAAGGCCTGGGGGTGGGCATAGGCTGGTGTAAGGGAAATGTTTCCCTGAGGCCTCCAACATAGAGGAGGTCTGTGTTTCTGTCGGAGGAAGAGACCCAGGACCAATGATGGCTCTTGAAGTTTCCTGGAACCTAAGGACTTCAGGAGTATGGCCGGTGTCTTTCCTGACGAGGATCTATATTCATCCTTGCTCATCTGCTACTCAGTTGCTATCCGCTGCCTTCCAAGTCGATCTACACTGATATGCCAACCAGGTCTGCTGAGTCTGGAGTCAAAGTCTGTTACACCCTGGAAGCCTAGAATCCTTATACCCTCTCTCCCCAGTGAAGATGTTAAATAAAAGTTATTCTGCATTATACTACTGGAGTGGACATCAGCTATTGGGGGACAATAGAAGGGCAGTTAATGCTAATGGATGAGCAGCCGAAGATCATACCCTAGACAGATTACAGATGAACCGGGCATTTAGCGGCCCCTTCGGGGATGAGCGCTACAGGGCAAATACATTTTGCCATCTACATCGGTGTGTTACTGTTTAGTAATAGGACACCAATATACAGTATCTTTAATTTGATAGATATCGTAAACTTTGAACAATTCAGTTCTGAGGTAATCCAATTCGTCTTTAGCTAACAGAATATGAAGGGAATGATTGTATATAGCTTTGTGTTCAAGATGACAGAATTCAAGGTTCAAGTCAGTAATTTTACTATGTTTTATCAGTCTCTCTCTCTTTCAGGTGATATCAGCTTAAAATTCCTTGTAGTTCCTCAGCTGTCTTTAGCATGTTTGCACCTTAATCCTCTTCTTTTATGTAAAAGAGAAGGTTCTTTCTTCTCCATTTTTTTCCAGTCTGCACACATTTTAACTTAATCATTTGTGCAATTGTGTTCTGTTCTTCTATTTTATTCCTTTACTTTCCAGCTTTATTTTTCTCCAAAAATTGCGGCACCTACTCTCAGCTGTCCTTTTGTTCTATGATGCAGTTATCCGCTCCAAGCAGCCAATTGTTCTCTGCCTTTCATAAACAGGAGGTATTACTAGCCTTTTCTGTGCTCTTAGAATCAAACAATGCAGCTCCACAACTTAGTTGGCAGTGCCTTATTTAAAGCACCATCACAGTCTGTCCCCAAAGTGCAGAGCTTCAGAAACATGCAACAGAGTTTCAAAAAACCTTTGTACAAAGTTTATGCAACTAGCTATGAAGCAGCCAGTACACAGACTGCTGCTGACACTGTAATATCCCCCCAAAGATAAGGGGACTTAATCTAAAACGAGGCAGATATATTTTATATTTTAGATTTTTGGTAAAAAGTGATCACTGAGGTAGTTCTTTTTTTTTTAGTCTATCTAAAAAAAGGGCATGAGGCAATTTTTATTTATTGTTAATCTAAACCACCCAACGTAAAGTAAACATCATAGAACTAATTAATACATTGATGAAAAACCAGGATAGTGTCAACCACTTGACACTAGCAAATGTTCTGCCTGTCATTTTTAACCTTAAATAGTATATGCCTAAATACACTATTTCTAATAATTAGGCTAGTCCAGTGGTGGCGAACCTTGGCACTCCAGCTGTGCCAAAACTACAAATCCCAACATGCATCTGCCTCTGTGAGTTATGTCTGTGGCTGTCAGAGCCATGCAATGCCTCATGGGAGTTGTAGTTCCAAAACAGCTGGAGTGCCAAGGTTCGCCACCACTGGGCTAGTGCATGTTACAAAAAGTGACAACTCTGTTTCCACCATATTTCAATTGAGCTGGTGTGATACTGGCTTTTAAGGTTGTCCCTACACATTATTTAGGTTGTTGACTACATAAACTACAGTATGAGCTTATGTACTGTAGTTTGACCTTTATGACATAAAAGTTAGTTGACATGTTGAAATGTGACATGACATGTTGTTAAGAATTTAAAGGCTGATGTCAAAGATAATGGAAAAGGTCTCATAAATGGTTGTACATACATGTTTTCAGTAGGGCTGGTAATGATTAAAATTTTCGTGTTCGATTAATCAAATTTTTTTTTAATCGATTAATTTCGATTATAACGCACATACAGATCCAACTACATTGGCCTATACACATACAGCACAGCATTGAAGTAATAAAATGAACTAGGATCACACTAATCCAGCACGTTATTAATCTCACGTGCCCCACTCAATATGGCCGCCGCCTTGAGTGGGGCAACTCAGAATAATAACGTGCTCGATTACAAATGTATTTACATAGTATAGTAAAACAGCAAAGCGCTAAGAGTGATTTAAACATAAGTATTAGCTTAATATTTGAAGTAGCAGCAGCATTCCATTTCATGTAAGGACCTGATTGCAACATAATATCAGTAAATTTCCATGGGCACATTTCTGGGAGCGATAGTGCATATATAAGTTTGTTTGTGCATAGTGCATATATAAGTTTAAGATAAGACAGAAGCTTGGTCCGGTGACGTCACGGACATCGACGTTAGCCGACGTTAGCCTTCCCTTCGTTAGCCGACGGAGCCACTTGGGGAAGGGGGAGGAGTCCGGTGACGTCGATGTCCGTGACGTCACCGGATCTCCGACGGGACTCCCGGAAGCCGGCGGAGAGGTGAGTCTTATCATTTTCGATTAAAATAATTTTAATCGATCAAAAAGTTTAACGATTAATGGAGGAATTAATTGTTAATTTCCCCAGCCCTAGTTTTCAGCTGTTTATATTTAAACATTCATGCACTTAGGTCAAAGATTTACTTTGAGGCCTTACTTTTAAGGATTTACTTTATAATGAAAAATGATGTGATGTCCCCTGTTATTTGATATGCGGTTTCAAATAAGGATTCCTTACTTTCACATCCATGACTGTAATTTGCAACATTTTTCTGGACTGAAAATAACAACTTTTACTTTTTGAAAATAAGGATTTTTATCCTGGTGCTTTGGCTTTGTAAAATGAGCATAAACAGATGTAGTGCTCACCCCGAAGGAGCCGGTGGAATATACGGGTACTTCTGTCTCACCTCTGTGATAGACCTTAGGCAATGGATCCACAGCACACCTTGTGAGGTTTTGTAAAAGTTTTACTGAACAAAAAATATACTACCCAATAAATGCATGAACAGGTACAACAATAGCAAATAGCAAGTAATAGAAACACTTTAAATATACAGATAAATCTTAGCTGTTGCAACCTATCTGCATATGCAAACAATACTGAACTGACTAATGTAATTCTATCTGAAACATAAAACTGTGAAGGCAAAGTCTCAGTCCAAACAGCCAACAGCTTACTAGGTTCCAGCAGCAGCAGCAGCTTGCGCCACACAGTAGCAGTATCGATGCTTTCAGCACGTCTTTGTAGAATCCAATCACTCAGGAAAGGGGTGGCAGTGTCTCTCCTTGATACAACAGTCACTGGATCCTCTCATTAGTTCATGTAGCATTTTCCACACTGTAGAAGAATCTTTCAGCAGGATCCCTCAGTAGGAGAGCAGAGAGTATCAGACACTGGAATCACAGATACTGTTCAGCAGACAGTGAGCATCAGCAAACACCTCAGGTTTTATCTCTCTCCTGAGATAAACTATCAGGCAGCACTTCACAATGCAGCCAGCCACTGGCATATCCCTTGCCAATCTGAGCGCGTTCTGAGAGAATGTTCAGTTCCCTTTTCCTTCCAGATCACAAAGCCTCCTGGGCAGTGGCGTAACAACCGGGGGTACGGGGGGGTCACTTGCCCCGGGCGCAGGACTGAGGGGGGGCGCCGTCACGACCCCCGCTAAACGAAGCCCCGTTCTCTCTCTCTCTGCCACATTAATCTCCTAGTTCATTGCAGAATAACTTTTCAACGTCTCTTCCTGTGTTGAAACTGCAACTCCCACAAACACTTTAGTACCGCTGAGAGCTGAGCCAATCAAGTCTCTGTAGCAACATACAGTCTTAAAGCGACATTATTCTTAAAAGGGAAATAACAATAGTCCACTACACATATATATCCCTCTAGCTCTCATGATTAACTTTTCTCAAATAGTATAATCCCAAAATCTTATGCAGTACAGATGATGGTGAACTAACAGCAAACAAATTATAGACCAAGTGTGGCAGATTCATGTTTTCGCTAACATCCTTGCTATATGCTTATGTCCAAATCCAGTTCTGCTTTTATAGTAGAATATCAGCACCACTATCTCTTTATCATGCAGCTCAACCAGAATGGCTTCAGATTATCTCTGATACCGAGGCAAAAATTGAGTCTGATCTAGTCTGGAATTGTGCAGCTTCTGGAAAACCACGACCCACAATTCATTGGTTGCGAGATGGTAAACCATTAGTCTCACAGGTAAGGAGGCCTATTTCCCTACATTCCTTGCTATTATTGAAATTATCTTTACTTCTTTCCTTCTGTTGCTTGCTAAGACTTATTTGAAGCAAATAATGCAATGTGAGTGATCTAACATATTCAGGTTTGATTGTTCCAAATGCAACATGAATTGGTCAAAAACAGGGGAAAAATAATGGATTGATGGGAGATAGAGAAGGCAGTAGGATCTGATCATGGACAGGATTAGAAAAGGGTGTTTGTTATTTGATCATAGAATATTGGGAGAATAGACAAAGTGGTTCTGAACATGAAACAGATTATAACAGATGATTGAGGTGGAAGGGATGTAGGGCAGGAGCTGATCACAGATAGGGTGGAGGGAACTGTTCTTGGACAGGAGCGAGAGGAAGCAGAGCCAGAACTGACTATTGTTGATGGTGATGACCAAGATTGTGTTCCACTGGAAAAAGATGTAGAGAAGGACCTGGTTATGATCTGCAGAATGAAGAGAAAGAAGGTAGAGAGGCAGTTGAAGGCATCATTTGCATCAGCCATGACCATAGGCGTCACTACAGGGGGGCAAGGGGGGGCAATTGCCCCCCCTGTGTTATGCTTTGCCCCCCCGCTAAATTAAGCAGCGGTGCAGTGGCTCCAGTACTGGTGCTAGTATACATCAATGGCACTGACTAGTATGTCTTCCTTTGTACCTAGCTTCCACATTGTGGAATACCTAGGAGGCCTTCTCTGAAAAGTCTGTGTCCTGGCCAGGGGCGGACTGACAACACATGGGGCCCCCCGTGCAATACATGATTATGGGGCCACCTTGTGCTCCATCCATATACAAGCCCCTCCCACACGCCCCACCTGCATAGGCATTCTTGTGTCACAGAAATTTTTTCTCCACATTATTTTTAAAATAGTGGGCCAATTCACTAAAAGATGAATTGCCGGGAATTGGTAGGAGAATTTCAAAATCTAGACCAATATAGGCAATTTGGAAAGTGAGCTAAATGGCAGAATGCATGACAGACCTCAGACCAGAACCAATACACGGCACACTTCAAACCAGAACCAATACATGGCAGAACTCAGGCCGGAACCAATACACGGCAGACTTCAGACCAGATCCAATACACGGCAGAACTCAGATTAGAACCAATACAAGACAGACCTCAGACCAGAACCAATACACTGCAGACCTCAGACCAGAACCAATGCACTGCAGACCTCAGACCAGAACCAATGCACTGCAGACCTCAGACCAGAACCAATGCACTGCAGACCTCAGACCAGAACCAATGCACTGCAGACCTCAGACCAGAACCAATGCACTGCAGACCTCAGACCAGAACCAATGCACTGCAGACCTCAGACCAGAACCAATGCACTGCAGACCTCAGACCAGAACCAATGCACTGCAGACCTCAGACCAGAACCAATGCACTGCAGACCTCAGACCAGAACCAATGCACTGCAGACCTCAGACCAGAACCAATGCACTGCAGACCTCAGACCAGAACCAATGCACTGCAGACCTCAGACCAGAACCAATGCACTGCAGACCTCAGACCAGAACCAATGCACTGCAGACCTCAGACCAGAACCAAACCCAATGCACCTCAGCCCTCAGACCAGAACCAATGCACTGCAGACCTCAGACCAGAACCAATGCACTGCAGACCTCAGGCCAGAACCAATGCACTGCAGACCTCAGGCCAGAACAATACATGGCAGACTTCAGACCAGAACTAATACACGGCAGAACTCAGACCAGAACCAATACACTGTAGACCTCAGACCAGAACCAATACATTGCAGACCTCAGACCAGAACCAATGTACGGCAGACTGGGCAGTTAGATTGACACATACACAGCAACATCTCGGGGATCAGCCATCACACACAGTCTAATCGCTGTCCGATGTCATCCGCACATACGCGTTAATGGGCAGCTCCTGCCATGCCAGCACACATGCTCACCTTTAGCAGGTCCAGCAGGTGGGTGCAGCTTTGTTAAAGCAGCGACAGTAGTGTCTATTGGACCCGGTGTAATTACCTTTTATGTTTGGAGATGGAACTCAGCTGCAGATCTCCTTCCAACAAGGGAAATTAGCAGTCACTTCACATGGTAGTTCAATAATCGTTTTAAGCAAGGAAGGGTCAAATGGTGGTACTTGAAATGTTCACTTCACAAACAAGCAGCAAAAGTCAATTGGTTGACTGAGCAAGTAACAACCCGGGTATTTGCAATGTTCACTTCACATCACAAGTGCATATCACACAGGATTGTATGGCTAGGATAAACGGAGGTGTTTGTAATGTTCACTTCACATCACAAGTGCATTTATCACACAAGATTGTATGGAAAGGATGAATAAGGATGTTTGTAATGTTCACTTTCACATCAACTAGCAAAGTCAGATAAGTTGCAATAGCAAGTAACAGCTGGGGTAATCAATACTTGCTGTTAGGAGTACACTGGTTAGCAGGTAAAAGTAATCCTGGAGTCTGTATCCTGGCTGTAGTAGCTGGTATAGCCGAAATGTAAGGATGAGAAGCACAAGAAGTCCCAGCAGGATCAGGAGGGTGTGCAGGCTCTGGAGTGTCCCATGGGGACAGCCTATCATTTAGGATTGAGAGCGTGTCTGTAGGGAGCTTTGTCCAGCGTCTGCATTCATTGCAGGAACACCAGACAAGTGAACCCTTGCTGCTTAAGCTGAGGAGGAGGGCAGAGCAGCGTGATGTCGACAGACCGGGGGCGGAGCTACCCTCTGTGTCCGAGACGTCGAAGAGGCAAGCATAGCAGGTCTATTACCCCCGGGAGGCAGGGGACACTGCCCCTGCCACTTTAACACAGCCGCATCTACTAGTTTGGCTGTGGCTCGGCCGAAAACAGCAAAGAGATGGGGCACACAACTGCCTTTCCTTCAGTGGCGACTCTAGGAACAATATATGGGGGGGCACATAAGATATCACAGTCAAATCTGGGGGGGACACTAATAGTTGTCATTGTATGTCGCAACCGCTGGGCGCCAAGAGCTGATTTAATTGCGGATGGCATCTGCGCCCCGCGGTTGCAACATGTAGTCCAACGCCGCCCACAATCCTGAATATCACAACCACTGGCACCCTGCAGGTGCGGAATACAGGAGGGCCTGACTGGCATCTTTTGGGCCAAGGGGCAAGTACAACCCAGAGGCCCATGGTGCAGCAAATTGGCCCCCCTCCCGCTCTGCCTCTTCCCCACCTTCTCCCTGCCCCTGCCTGCCACTTTTGCCATCCATGTAACGGTATGAATGTGAATGGCCAGGTGATGTGAGGACTCCTAGTAAGCCCATGAAAGGGGTGACAGGCTGGGGGATGGTGCTCTCCTCCCACTGGGCTCCCTACATAGTTCTGGCCTTGCTCCGCTGCATGTCTGGTACTTAGGCACTCTCACCCACTGTAGACCGCCACTGGCTGTCCATGCTTCTAGGCTGTGAGCTGTGGGAGGATAGTGGTAGGGGCCAGACAGTGTAAAAGTCAGTGTTCTATAATTGTTCTCGGTCCTATACATTTTCTCGACTGTGTCACTTTCAGTGGGGCTGAGTCATCCGAATCAGCTGTTTTCATGACCCCCTTTCTTCATGACATGCAAACCTGGAAGAGACGCGGTAGAGAAATGTATGGGTTGAGGGATGCCTCATCAGTGCTGTGCGCGTATACGACTGCTGCGACCCTGGTAGTTCTGCCACTAACTCCAAGCTGTAGAGGGACTATAAACCTGAGGACATTATACAGCAATGAGAACAATACCACCAGCTATAGAGGACTATACATCTCAGAAATACATTGTACAGCAATGAAGAATACCAACAGCTATAGAGAACTACAATTCCCAGCAATACATTACACAACAATGCAGAATACCATCAGCTATAGAGGACTACAAATCCCAGCAATACATATTACAGCAATGCAGAATAATATGAAGCTACAGACTCTGCTGCTTCAGGTTCACCACCTGATGTCTCCAGGTTCTCTGGAGGGTTGTGCGGGCTCTCAGGTGGCCAGTGTGAGCTCTCAGGTGGGCTGTTTGGGCTCTCACCAGGGGTTCAGAGAGTTTCATGGGTGCATGTGGGTGCAGCAGAGGCGGCTTCCTAATTAGGCTCTCAGGTGGCCAATGCAGACTGTCAGGTGGGCTCTCTGTTAGTCAGTGTGGGATCTCTGCTGGTCAGTGTGGGATCTCTGCTGGTCAGTGCGGGATCTGTGGTGGCCAGTGGGGGCTCCCTGATAACTAGTGGGTGCTCTGTGGTAGCTCCCAGGTGGCTAGTGGGGACTCCACTATGGCCAGTAGGGGGTCCCTGGTGGTTAGTGGGGGCTCCCTGGTTGCCAGTGGGGGCTCTGTGGTGGCTCCCTGGTGGATAGTGAGGACTCTCTGGTGTAGCGTGACCATTCGCCCCTGATTTCCGGGGACAGTCCTCGGATTGAGGAGACCGTCCCCAGAAATGTCCCTGGGAACTAGAGCTGCAGCTAACCATTATTTTCAAAATCGATTACTGGGGTGAGTCTGGCAGCGGCGAACGTGAGGCGGTGTGGAGTGTGGATGCAGGCGGGTGGGTCTGGCAGCGGCGAGCGTGAGGTGGGGAGGAGGTGCGGCGCGCGGCGTGTGTGGAGCTGTGAACAGGGCCAACTAGTGGAAAGCCGATTAATCGATGATTGAAAACGTTGACAACTTTTTCAATCATCGATTATAATCAACTTAGTCGATTAGTTGTTGCAGTCCTAATGGGAACATACAATAAAACTTCTTTTTTTTTTTTTTTTTTAATACTCACCTGATTCCTGGATCCACCGACAAGCGCAGCCTCCCGTCTTCCACGCTGTCAGAAGCTGCATACAGAGCGTGCTGGTTGCTACTTAAACCGGCGCTCGCTGTGTGCAGCTTCTGAGAACCCAGATAGCAAGAAATTGTGCTGCAAGTTTGAAAATGACTTGCTAAACTATTGCAGACTTGCTTAGCTTCACAATTATAGCAAGTCTACATTGCAAGTCTCCAGACCAGCGAGCTTGCAGAGCTCTTGCTAAGACCTGTAGGACTTGCTGTAGACTTGCCAAGCAAATTTGCTACAAATTCAAAAAGTGTCAACTAGAACTTGTGCTGCGAGTGTTCTGCAAGTCTACAACTTGCCAGGAATGTGTGCGACAAGTTAACAAGAATTACAATTTAACCTATCACAAGTTTGTGTCAAGTTATCTTTGCTATCTGGGAAGATATGTTATTAGCGTAGCGAGGAAGCTGGCTGCGTATTTTGCCTAGCCTAATAGCGTATATTCTCAGAAGCTGCACACAGCGCGCGCCGATGGGAAGCCTGGTGGTCAGTGGGGGCTCACCTGGACCCTGGGTGTGGGGGGTCTGCTGTGGCCACAGCTGCAGTGGCTCCCTCCCTCCACCGCCTCCCTGCCACCTGCACCTGCCTGCATCAGATGTGGCTCTCCTTGAGTACAGTTTATTATATCCGTCGATTTTCCCAAGTTCAAGGACTCTCTCTTTTGGTCAGTTCTTTAGGTTGACCTTTGCTGGACTTTATCTGGAGTCTGCAAGATCCAGACTTATTTGATTACTCCTCCTGTAACTTCCTGGGTTACTGATATCCTGCTCTAGACAGCGTTTAGTGTGTCTTCATAGTCTACACTGTTTCCAGTCTTGACTCCAATATTGCTTCCAGATTTTTTTAACCTCTTGCCGTCCGCCCGTAGTAGAAAAACGGACGGACGGCACTGCTGCATAGGCGGGTTGCCGTCGCTAGACGCCATTTTTTTTCTGCTCGCGAGCAAAGTAATTTTTTAAATGTCTGTGATTTTTCCTTAATATAGTAAAAAAATAAAAACCCCAGTGGTGAATAAATACCACCAAAAGAAAGCTCTATCTGTCCCCAAAAAAGGGTATAAAATTAATTTCAGTACAGCGCTGCATGACGGAATAAATGTCACTCAAAGTACCGCAGCGCTGAATACTGAAAAATGGCTTGGATGGGAAGGGGGTTTAACACCGCGGATGTCAACTGGTTAATATACTATTCCCGACTTTTAAGAGTGAGGCTATGCATGGGAGAGTGTATCCTTCTTTAAAATTCATGTACTTCCCTGTAAGGTCAGCAGTCAGAACATTCCATTGCCTTGCTGCAGAGTTCCCCTCAGTGGGATAATGTAAGGCTGGCCATCCACTGTTAGAATTCTTGTGAATCAACCAAAATTCTTACAGTGGGTGACCCAGCCTCCTCAACAAATGTCTATCACTTAATCGACTTTTGTCGAAGGGGAAGGCGGAACAATGCTGGCCAAACAGTGACTGCAACCAATCAGCTGCAGTCAATGTTCAGGTTTTTTACAGCGGTTGTCAGAATACAATAAGCACAGTGTGTCTGTTTAGTGTGGAGGGAGGAACATATTAGATTTTTTCGTTAAGCCCACACTAAACTTCATCCAGAAGTCCCATTAAGGAAGCCAGGCGGCGTGTCATTCCCTCTGGAGGGTGGCTACTTTTGTTCCCCCTGGTCCCTGTGTGTGTTCTGAAGTAGCTACTGCTCCAAACATTGTCAGAATAGTTACTCTGATAAAATAAACAGTTTTCTATTTATGAAATCAAGCAAGGATCTGTAATTAAGGAGATTCCAACATGTCTTCACAAATCAATTAATAACTCGAGTTCTTTTATTTGCGCTAACCTGAAGACAAAATAAGAACAATAATGTGCAAAAATATATATATTTATTAACTAAAAATAAGTGCAAAATAATAATCAAAATATAACTGGTGACAAACAAAGGATATGGATCAAAATTTCAATAATATTGATCAACAATAATAATAATAAAAATAAAACCAATGCAATTAGTGGCTTCTCATTAGCTCAGCAGAATGTGACAGAACAAAATATGCAGATTTGACATGTGACCTCTCCCAGCCAACAGATATTCACAAGCTCAAATTTCTACTGCGCATGTCCAACTCATAATACTATGCACAGGACTGGCTATTAGCCAAGAATCTATTTCAGATAAAGACAAACTTCCACCAAGTTATTTTATTTTTAAGTATATAGCACAACTAAACCATTGACTAGAAACTGAAAACAGCTTCAAGGAGATTCTTTATATATTTCTCCCAAGATTGAAAAAGAGACGATTCTTACTGCAGCTAGAATTATTTCAATTCAATCTTGATACTAACAATGGTCTAGTCAGATATATATGGCTAGTCAATTGCCTACAGATAAAGAGAAATTTATACTTTACCAAAAATTGAAAAATCTTTTGTCTGAGAGATGTCAGCTTTGTTTCAGTGTAGGGACAGGAGATGTTCGGGTCCTCTTTGGTTCAGTTCACCTGGTCAGCCTGTAAATCAGCTTCAGATCTCCCCCTCCAGTGTCTATGTACGTCCTCCTGTATACTCTTTCGTTCTTTCAGTCTTTTTCCCCTTTAACTTTCTCCTAGCTTTTATCACCCAAAAATGTGGGCGGAGATTGCTTATCTTTAACCTAATTATGACATCAGAGAGGTGTCACTTTTCTAAAAACTATCCCTGCAATTACCTAAAGGGGGCAATATTGTAAAATAAATAATTTTTAAGTTTTCCTTAAAATTCCAATATATTTCCATGAGATGACCTCTGTCCTAAGCCTTGAACAAAACCATAAATTTAATAGGGCGGTCTGTTCTGTGGCAGCCCATGTCTGACTAACTGTCTCTTTAAGATATATACAGCTTTGAGAAAGTCTGAACAGCAGAAATTACATTTTTCTTCCAAATACCTTGACAATTA